CCTGCTTCCAGGAACGGTTCCAGCTTTTCAAAGAACTCTGGTGCAATAATCTGCAGCATGGAGTGGAAAAGGTGCGTGAACGGCAGCCTAGACACCAACACCAAGGACTGAAAGGCAAAGACAGACGACAATCTGAAACCACATCAAATCAAAGGTGAGTTATGGTGGAGAACAGGTGAGTTACCTTCTGGAAATACCCTCTCTTAATGGAGACATCCTTCACCTGGCGGAAGTAGACATATCCGAAGAAATGTGCCGTTTCCCTCTGAGGAGACAGAACCGTTTTATTACCAGTTTACCAGCGGACTGCAGGCGTCTGGCTCAGGACTCTCACCTGCAGCGTAACGGGGGCGTCTCTGTTGTAGACGTCATCTTTGAACCCTTGGCGGCCAACTGATTGCCGTAACCTGAAGGTGAACTGCGTGTCCCCTAAGCATCCTGGGAAAAAAAATACACAGCTGACATCATATGGCCTCTGATCTTTCATCTTTACATACGGCTACAGCTAGGGTTGAAACCTTGCTGTGCTTTGCCCTCAGCTTCCATCTTCCACCGGTTTTTCTCCTTAATGAAGAACAAATGGACTGATGTGCAGAACAAATGATCCACTGAATTAACTAAAGCTGAGCTAATGTCAGCCTCAATCATGAACCGTCTTGCTCAGAGTTTTGCTCTGCAGCACTGAAAGAAAAACAACTCCTACAATACAAGAGGAAAAACTAGGCTATCGCCACAATATGTGGCATTAAGCTAATGATTTTTTTTTCTGTTTTACAATAGTAGCCTACCGTCATTGTTTTTAAGGCACAAATATGTCTGCATGTTTGCCGTTGCATCTAAAATTTTAACTATTTCATTAGTTTTATATTCATTTTTATAATTTGAAATTAAGCAGGACAGGCTTATGTTCAAGATACTAATTTTATTCAGCAAAGTTCATTTTTGTATTAAAATGAATTGCAGGATAATAATTTGTTTTCCATGTGTTCATGTCGCTCACAAATATGCATCCAATTCAGTGCAGATTTGAGTCAAATAGTTAAAAAAATCATTTCACACACAAAGGGGGGCTAAAATAAAATCACCACCCCAGGAGGGGTGAGGGCAATCAGGTCAGCTGGGACGCACATGAGGGGTCCCTTCTTTTTTTTTCCCCCAGGGAGTTGCCATCCCTCTCTATAGCTCTGTATCTGTTTCAGGAAGTCATGTTGTTCATTTACTTGCCCTGAACTTACCTGAGTAGGAGTCTGGGAAGGACAGGTAACAGATGCTGGTTTTCTGACAAAAAATAAAAAAAATGAAACCAGCAAAATCAGTCAGTGACTTTAAAATAACTGGGTACTCTGATTTACAAAAGACTATATATATATATATATATATATAATTACCTCTTTCTCTGTAAGTTTCACATCCTGAGGATAAACAAGCTGAAAGCAGAGAAAAAAATCTTAAAAAACAAATAAATCTAATTTAACGACTCCTGCCTTTTAAATTCAAATTTGAGAAAAAAATAAAATAAAATGACAAACTAAGTCCAAAAAGAAATTATATTTGAACTATTACATATGCCGAATTAAGGAATATAAGTTACACATTAGATAACTTAAACATGTATTGTCTCACAGCAGCTATTTTCTCTAAAAAACCGCTAAAATGTAAAAATGGTAAATTTTCTGACTTCAGATTGGTGTTAGCGATGCTAAGCTAGCCCACCTCGATGGCTTGTCCGAGCTCCAGATCGAAGGTAACCACACACACGCACTCCAGCCAGGAGGAGAAGCGGCTCCAGGCGGACCTGCTGTCCGCCGCAGCGGCTTCCCTTCCCGGAGAACCGAACCCGTCCAGTGGGTCCATCACTGCAGGTGTTGAGCCAAATTCTGCTCCCCTATAATAAGCAGCAGGGACCAGGCACCACAGCTGGAGGGGCGGGTCCAAGCGACCACACTCCCTGCGACAATAATAACATCTCAAATGGTGAAAAGTGGAAATTAGTCGCTAATTTCAGGAAGTAAAACTCCATACACATAATGGGATCATTCGAGCTTTTATTTATTGTAATTCTGATTTTAAAACCCCCAAATTCAGTGTCTACAACAATAACCCTTCATAGGGCCCTCAGTGAAATACCTTGAAAATCAAATTTAAAGCCAATAGTGTTATTGGAAACCAGGACAAGACCTTATTACCTTACCTAACTTACATTAAAAATATGGATATTTTGATGGCAAAAAATTAATGTCAATGTCATAAGAAAAAAAATGCCAACTTACCCAAATATATTAAGAAAAATAAATAAAATTGCTTCTATAAGAAATTCATGAAAAACACTCAGAGTGAAAGAAAATTTTTTTTTTTGGTCCAACATAACCTTAGAGGCATTAATGCTGATACTGACACTTATATTTTTAGTTTATAAATCTAAATATAGTTGTTAACTAGGCTTTTTACCTTTTTTCTTGACTTTTTAACTTTTTTTTGTTACAACTTAATTTCCAGAAGGTAATATATCATTGAATGGCTCATCTGATTGATCAAATACCAAAAAAAGATGTACAGCCATGTAACGGAATCTTTGCTGAATGGCTGGATATAGATCCTGCGCTTCTAGCGGTATGCAAGTGATCAAAAACGCTAACCTGCCCTATAAAGGGTTAAGGAATAATAAAATAAGAAAGTAGGCCTAAAAATATCCATCAATAGAAACCATGTTGGAAAAGGAGAAAAATGAGACAAAAAGTTTGGATGGATAATTAATCAAAAGTCAAAAGCATTGCAACAACCAGCCTGATAATTATTCCTACCAGCAAAAACACCCTGACTTTAAACAGAGGCAGAAGTATATAGTTAAAGAAAAACGAGAAAAGATATATTTTCATTTCAACTACAGCATAGATGTACGTCTAAACAAGAAATATAATCATACTCAGATTTTACACGTATGCAACAAAAAATGTCTCTGCAGAACTAAAAGCACGTACTGTACAGAGAATTCAGATTAAACAAGGAACATTAATTACAAATGGGCTTTCAGTATACACAGGGAAAACATTAGCTTTAAAATTAGTAGAATGGATAGAAGAAATCAGACCTTTAAAAACAATTATTTGTCAAACTTCAGATCAGTTTTAATCAGTTTAGAAGCCATTAATAATGTAAACCAGATTTTTAAGTAGAGATAAACGAGCAGATGTTGGGATTAGTTGTTATATTTATCTGGGTTCCAGCTCACAACATTGTCACACACACACACACACACACACACACACACACACACACACACACACACACACACACATTATTACTGGGTGGGTTTGATACATGACATGGTAAATAAACTCTAAGTATTAAAGTGAAAGAAATACTTTTCCAGATATTATGACTCTTTAGTGAAATGATATTCTGCTAGAAGGTGATACGTCTATTAGGCACCTTTCTAATATCCCCTACAACAGACCAGTGATTCTGTCTGAAGCCGATTTCTGTTTTATAAATTCCCTTGATGGTGATGCTGCAAGGATTATTTTGTAAATGGGCCAAGAGGATTTAAAGAGTTTGGAATTGCCAAAGTTGAGAAGTTTTAATTGTCTAAAATCAAACAATGCAAAAGTTTACTTATAATAACTCTAGTTCTTTCTTAGACTTTACCAGATATATTCTCATTTTCTTAGTATATGAAAGCATTACCGTTCATTTCATATTTTCCGACGCCCTCCAGTGGATTTCTATGGTACTACAGGCCATTTTCATCCTGCATCTTTATGTACCAGTTTTGCCTTCCTGGCTATAAATATGTTGTTTTATTGTTTATTCTGTTTCAGATAACCACACATCCACATACCTAAGAAACCAAAAATAAACCTCATCATCATCTGTACCATCATCTCCAATCTACCTGCTTCTATTCCATTAATAAACCTTCTGAGCTGCACCGATGGAGTTTACATATTCCTTCTAACCGAGGAAGATTTAATTGATGACAAATCTGGAATTAGCGCATATTAAACGTACACAGTCTTCTACAAATAATGTATGTCTATTCTATTAAAAAATTTTTTAA